AAGAAAAATGAAAAAAACGGAAAAATACTGTTTTTTTAACATATGACAAAGAGTTAATATCCATAATATGTAAGTAATTCCTAAAATTAGTCAGAAAGAGACAAACTTGAAAAGGCAGGGGTGGAGGAGAGTTGAGGAGGAATTATATACACACGCAGGAAATTCACAAAGACAGTAGCACAGATTGCCACAAAACAAACTGGATGTGCATTTGCCTATTAGATATGTCAGTATTTTTACCTTTTTCATGAAAAGCACAGGTAAAAGCATAAGGACAAAGAGAAACTCTCATATACTTCTGGCTGGGATATAAATTAGGACAACCCTTTAGAAGGACAATCTAACAACAGCAACCATAATTTAAAAGTGAACATCTATGAATTCACATGAAAATATACACATCTATCAAAATATTTTCTATGCATAGGCTTATAATTAGAAAACTAGAAACAAATGATAGTGGGCTGATTAAATTAAAAACATCCATATAATGGAATATTATGGAGCCATGAAAAAGGATATGGTTAATCTACAGGGATTCATATGAAAACACATTAAAAACATTAAGGTCTTGAAGTGATCTGTATGTACCAAGGGATTTGTACAGATGCCAAAATTCAACAGTGAAGAGTCAGGGTGTTACTTTTTATAGGTTTTTGAGATCTCTTGAGTTTTCAAAATAAGTACTTCCAACATTAAAAAAAACTGTGAACGCCCACAAAAAAGTTAAGATAAAAGGATTCCTTCGAAGCTCACTCGCCCTCCAGATCTCTGTTGTCCAATACGACAGTCTCGTGAGACCATCCAGCACTTGGTATGTAACCGGTTCTAACTGAGACATGCTAAACAAAACAGACAACAGACTTTAAAGACTTTGCATGAGAAAAACCCTAATTAATACTTTTATATTGGTCACGTATTGAAATGATATTTATATATTAAACAAAATATACTAATAAAATTAATTTTACCTGTTTCTTTTTAGTTGTTACAATGTGGCCGTTATAATTTAAAAATCCGTATGGCTGACATTGTATTTGCATTAGACAGTACCGTTTTGGATGAAGAGGAAAGCGGAGCTGATGTATTATTTGGCATTTTTCTTTATTTTAATCAATATAAACAATTCTATTTATAAATGTATTTTTTCCAAATACTTTCAGAATCTTTCCATCAAATATATTGATTAAAAAATAAATGATCATAGTTAAAAAGGAAGTAATTAAAGAGATACCATGTACGAAAGAGCCGAAATACTTGGTGTTTTATTTGAAAGTCATATTGCACAACCTGGTGGAGGATGAAGGACATTGCTTGGCTTGAAATTTAAACAGTTTAGGCTCTTAACAGTCCTAAAATGCTATGTACCCAAGAAATATTATATATTGGTTCCTAGAAACTAGGAATCCTTAAATTAAGGTCTAAGTTTGTTTATAAGACTCTACTTTCTTTGGCATATATGTTTTAATTTTTATAACACTGCTGATTATATGTGACGAGGGCTCTATTTTATTTTTCTTTTATTTATTTATTTATTTATTTTTGAGACAGGGTCTCCCTCTGTTGCCTGGGTTAGAGTCTGGTGGAGTCATCATAGCTCACTGTTACCTCAAACTCCTGGGCTCAAGCAATCCTCCTTCCCCCGTCTCTAGAGAAACTGAGACTACAGGTGCATACTACCACTCTCAGTGATTTTCTTTTTTTCCTAAAGATGTGGGGTCTTGCTATGCTGCCCAGGTTAGTCTCAAACTCCTGGCCTCAAGTGATCCTCCTGCCATGGCCTTCTAAAGTGCAAGGATTATAGCCATGAGCCAGGGTTTTACTTAAATAGACACAAGTTCAAGCAAAGATTAGATTCTGCCTTTAGCAATGAGAACTGAGGTGGGAGGCATGAACAGGGAGACATGAAATCATTTACAAAATTATTTTCATTACATTTTCCCATGTTGAAACACTCCTAGAGATTGTAATTAGGCAAATTACTTATTTTAATTATAATAACAGCAATGAAGTTCAAACCACTATAAGAAAAAAATTATCCAGATATTTATGTTCAGAGATAATGAACTAGAAACCAAGACCATGTGACCATTGCCTCTAATCTGCCCAGTGTTACTGTGAGGAACTGCATAAATCTTGGAAAAAACTGTCAGCATCCTACTACAGAATCAAATATGGAAGGAAATCCCCTCACACGGCCTCTCTGTGGTGTCAGCGCCCAGCTATTTCCGTTCACTGAAGGGCTGTTCTTCAAATTCCCTTCTCCAGAACAAGCCTGACTTACGGCAGGGGAGGAACTGTCCTACTTTACGTTAAGTTTTGCGCTTGGAAAACTCATGTATGCTCTGACTTTCTCATTCAATAAATATTTATTGTTTCTACTATATGGAAGGCATTGTTCTAACGTGCTATAAGGGATATAAATTCAGACCACACATCGATCTTGCCAACAAACAGCTTATGATGCAATAGAGGAAAAAGTTGGCTCATGCATCTGCTCCCTCAAATACCAGACCGAGGAAACATCAGGGTTAACAGTGTCAAGCCACAAAAGCTGACAGCCAGTTAAGAGAAGTTTTGAAATACGCCCTTCATAACCAATGATTATAACTGCAGCTTTTACCCTTCAAGAAGGAGAAAGTTTAAGTTTCTTTTTTAAAATTTCTTCTGTAGCTCTCATAGACTCTAAAATGCCGTAATGAGTACGGGTGTGAAAGGTAAGATGAGAATGAAAGACAAGGAAATCTTCTGGAAGGTTTTTCCTTCACTAATGGACTCAGTGATGTATTTTTATTTACTTATATTCTTTATTTCTGCTATAAAGATTTATGTGGTTCTGTATTAGACACTTATAGACAACTGTGTCAGAACACACAATCCCTTAGCAAGGCCTAAGAGATCAAAATTCAGAAAAGCTAGATTTTAGCAGAATTTCCCAATTTACTTGATCTTAATATGGAATCAGACAATTTTCACCAGTATATTACTACAGCATGGGTGTAAATGCACTGGGTGTAACAACACTTACCACATTCCAGGTGGTGTTACTGTTCACCAAGTCTGCTTACGACACACCCGGTGGTGAGCTAAGGGCTCTGAAAATGTTAACTTTTAAACTTTCTACGAACCCTATGGACAGGTACTATCTTCAATGGACAGATGAGAAAATAGAAGCACAGAGAAGCTAAGAAATCTGACCAAGGGTCACAGAGCCAAAGGACAACAAAGCCAGGATTCCAACACGTAGGAACAGGCTCTCCACCACTCGTGTACACTGCCTCTGTTGCACCTGTTAGATCCAAAGCCCTAATCCTAGATCATCAAAAGGAAGGGTCTCTATTTTATACCAAGAAGAGACATTTCAATGAATAGAGTTTGAAAATGGTTCACTTTATAAAGTTTTACCTGACAATTCATAACTTACACTCAAATGTATGATGTCAGAGATTTTCCCTTTGTTTAAAAGCTGTTAGCTTTATAAAAAAAAATTATTTGAAATAGGATTGATTATATACAAGCTAAAAGTTTCACGGGATACAGAAACTAACTCGCTGAGCGCTTATTATTTGCCAGACACTTGTAAGGGCTCTATATGTGTTTTTTTTTAGGTTATCATAACCCTATAAATTATGTACTAGAGTTACCCCACCTTTACAGATGAGGAGACTGAGGTATGGGAAGAAACTTATCCAAGGCCAGACATCTAGAGCTGGCTTTTGGACCCAGACCACAATCTGATTCCAGAACCCATACTCTTAACAATTTCACCACATTGCTATGGTAAGATTAGGTGGTTTTAAAGGATTTGCTATTTGCTCACGAAGTTCTTAATATGAACACTTAATACGTATAAACACATATCTAAGCATTTATTATTTTTCCTTTTAACACTAAGAAGCACAGTGAAACACTTATTTCTAGAAATAAGTTAAATTTCTACTATCAAATTGTTTAAATTTATATTATCAAAATTATTACTAAGCTCACCAACTTCAGAAAAACTTACGATGGGCAAATGGTGTCAGGTATTGACAGGATTTAGCATTTAATTCTAGTTTGATCTTAGAAGACCACGTATCTGTTTGGGCACATGGGAAAGGACCTGGAAATAAAGACAAACCAGGACGGGATGAAGAGGAGAAACGTCTTTGGTGACGCTTACAGTGTATGGGACGTTGTCATCATACACAAGGATGGTTAAGACACCACGTGATGCAGAAAGATACTATAATTATAGTGCAAATAAGGAGGACCACATGAGGGCTGTCCATAAAGTGTCCAGCCACGTAATATGAAATCCACGCTGGACACTTTCCAGGGGGCCCTTGGATACTCCCGTGTTAGTTTATAGTGGGCACCACAGGAACCCCACAATTGAGAGCCGTGAGAGCACGGGAAGGGGGAGAAGGGCCTCCGAGAGAAGGCATTCTGGGGACGCGTCCCTGTTTCCTAAAGAACTAATCTAGTGCTTGAGAAATGGATACTTAATTCATTAATTTTTCCTCAATTTGAGTAATGAATTTACCCATCAGAAGAACCAGGTTTTGACTTACAAATCTCTTTTTTAGAATCATAAAACATAAAAAATACGCCTTTAAGTGGGAGCCCACCACCCCCCTCCACTTAACGGGCAAACGTAAGAGAGGGCTGTCTGGTGCTCGGGTGTGGGACGGGAGGACGACAGGGACTCTGCCCGACATACGCAAGGATTGTAACCTAGTTGTCTGTACCCTCACATTAACCTGAAATGACAGATAAATAAATAAAATGCGCTTTTAGAAACAGACAGACATCATAACAGCGCAAGTGTGGTTTATAATATAGCAGAGTTAAATGCAGTAACGATTTCAAATTGCCTATTAAGTTAGTTATTCATTTCTCTGATTTCATTTAGCATTGATCCAACTCAACGTGGGAGAAGGTCACATTCGTACAAGTTAACACGGCTTAATTATTAACTATATTCACCTGCCACTCTCACCTCTTATGTGGCAAATGGGGGGTGTATATATAGAGTGAAGAAGTCTGGGTCTACTTCCCGAAGAAAAATAGTTTCGAATTGGCTGAAATTGAATCGGGATAAAAATGCACACGATTAAGCTCTTCCTGTTTATCCTTCCTCTAGTTATCTCCTCGAGAATTGACCACGACAGTCCGTCATTTGATTCTGTACCTCCAGAGCCCAAATCAAGATTTGCTATGTTAGATGATGTAAAAATCTTAGCCAATGGCCTCCTCCAGTTGGGACACGGTCTGAAAGACTTTGTCCATAAGACGAAGGGCCAAATTAACGACATATTTCAAAAGCTCAACATATTTGATCAGTCTTTTTATGATCTATCATTGCAAACCAATGAAATCAAAGAAGAAGAGAAGGAACTGAGAAAAACAACACACAAACTGCAAGTCAAGAATGAGGAAGTGAAGAACATGTCCCTGGAACTGAACTCGAAACTGGAAAGCCTCCTGGAAGAAAAGGTCCTGCTTCAACACAAAGTGAGGTCTTTGGAGGAGCAATTAACTCATTTAATTCAAAATCAACCTGAAACCCAAGAGCACCCAGCAGTAACTTCACTTAAAGTAAGTAGAAACCAAAGAGGGTTCGTGATTATGTGTGCACTGTGGATCTTTAAAAAAAAATTCTGAAGACAGTGCTATTTAAAATGCTTCGTTGCATTGTTAAAAAAATGCAACATTGTTTTAATATTGTTAAAATACTTAATTCTTCTCAAGAAAAATATCTGCCAGGAAATAAAACTTTCCATCATAGTTTCGAGTTGGATTTTGCTTCCCTCACATTATGGGCAAAAGCAACCGAACTTTACATTTCATTTGAAAACTATTCATCAGTTCATAAAATTCAAAACGCTAAATTTACACTATTGCGAATTACTGGATGTACATAAAAAGTTGAAGGTATTTAAATCTGAAAACTATACTCCCATGATTGAAATGAATAAAAGTAAAGATTTATTCCTATTAAAATATATTTGGCCTTTTTCTTTTTATTGAAGTTTAGAAAACAAAATTTAAAGATGGTACATTTGAAATAAAATTAAGAACAAAAGTATGTACTTATGGAAGGAAACATACAAGAAAAACCGATTATCAATATTAATTTTTTAACCCACTATAAAAAAACGTAGATTGTAACAGTGTTATAGGAAATAAAAAATCTAATTTAACAAAAAAGAAACAAAAAGAAACTTTTAACCAACATATAATCTATATCCAGACGTTTGTAGAACAGCAAGATAACAGCATCAAAGATCTTCTCCAGATCGTGGAAGAACAGTATAAAACATTAAACCAGCAGCACAGCCAAATAAAAGAAATAGAAAATCAGGTAAGTCAATGTTTTAAAGGTATGTCCAATCGTTTACATTGGTTTATAAAAACCACTGAACCCTAAAACTATTTAAAAGCTTTAAGTGGATCATGAGTTAAATGATCATATTAGCATGACTACTAAAATTGCAGACTCTGAAAGTACTAAACTGCTTGGGCTGAAAATCATGCCTCTAAAACTTTCTGTACGGCCTTGAATAAAATTTTTAACTCCTCTCTAAGTTTCCTCATATATCCTATGAAAAGGATAAAAGAAACTATGTTATAGAACTGCTGTCAGAAAAACAGAATTAATTCACAGCAGCTAACATGCTCTATTAACACCTAAATTACACCCCGTTTCTCTCTGCTCACAGCCCCACCGTGGCTCTCAGGAACCAGGGCTGCCTTGTCACCAAGGCCCGCACTTCCTCAGCTCTCGCCACCCCAGCCTCCGCCTTGTTCCCCAACACAGCAGGCACGCTGCCACCTCAGGGCCTCTTCCCTCACTCCTTCCAGTTGGAATGTTCTTTGCCTTGGAATATACAGGACTCCATGGGGTCTATATGACTTGCTCTTTCACTTCCTCCCTGGGGTCTACGTGACTCCCTCTTTCATTTCCTCCCTGGAGTCTATATGACTCCCTCCTTCATCTCCTCCTTGGGGTCTATATGACTCCCTCTTTCATTTCCTCCCTGGGGTCTACGTGACTCCCTCTTTCATTTCCTCCCTGGGGTCTATATGACTCCCTCTTTCATTTCCTCCCTGGGGTCTACATGACTCCCTCTTTCATTTCCTCCCTGGGGTCTACGTGACTCCCTCTTTCATTTCCTCCCTGGGGTCTATATGACTCCCTCTTT